ACCCTGGCAATCCAGGGGCATACATTTGTCACAACTGTGATTCTTGTGACTGAATGAAGCACAGCCTGCTAGTTTAGTTCAGTAGGTTGTTGAGAATATTGTATTGTAAACCTTTTAAGACTGTTGGTCTGTTTGTTTTTGTTTGCTGTTAGGCAACTTACATGCTAATAAAGAGGTTTTAGCACTGAAGATGATTTAATTTTATTTCTCAACACAGTAGACAATTCAAGTAACTGATCACCTCCTTTAATCCCATTGTTTAAACATAAGGGGCATTGATGACAACTATCATGGGGTGGTATTCATATTAAAACTTATTTGCAGTTTCTAGCTTAAAAAACGAAAAAGTTACACACATTTTTTAACATCCCTTTTTATCACTGAAATCCCGTTGAAACTCTATAGGGACAACCAACCCCATACCCTGTGACAACCAACCCCGTGATGGGGTTGATTGTCACATTGTGTCAGAGTGTCTTTGATGGTTAATTGCTCCCTGTTACAATACATTCTAAAAGTAAAAATGATACACATTTAAAGCCAAGACCCCAAGCTTTCATTTCATGTAGGAGTTACTGCTGAAAGAGTTTTTGAAGATGAGCAATTCATGCATGAGTAAAAATTGTGACAACCAACCCCGGTCTCCCCTACATTTAATATTAAATGTTTCTCCGTACCGAGGTCCTGGTTGTGAGCCTTCTCCTGCCCCTCCACGAACAGCAGGCTGTACCCGTCCCACAGCTTGGCCATGCCCTGAGGACACATGGGCACCTGGGCGTCCTGGCTGTGCTTCACCAGGGTGTATCCGATGCTTGAGCCACGACCCACAGCCCCAGGGGGTCCGGAGCGACCCGTGGATCCAGTGGCGCCTGGAGAACGAGACAACAAGAAGAAATAAGAGGTTTGTTTCGAATGCTAACTGTTGGGAAAATACTGAATGTCCTCGTCCAACATCAGAGTACAGATGATAACAAAGGTATCCCAACTGTAGCTGTGAACATGACAGGATGTGTGATTACCTAGAAGAGCATCAGGACTGTTTGAGGCATATGATAGCTATGTGATTAACATGATGATTCAGCCTCTATGGAGAGAGACATATNTCACATACAGAGCATCAACTAGTTCCTGAACAGTGTCCTTCACATGCTGATATCCAAAAGAGGGAGTTCCACAGTCACAAGATGGAGGAATAGAAAGCAGTATTCAATGTTTACTTCAGATTAGCTCCACGTCAGAAATGAGCATGCTTGTCAAAAGTCAACATTTTTAGATTTTCAGAAAAAAGCCAACATTTTGAGAAAAAAACTGTAGTAAACATTGAATACTGCTTTCTATTCCTCCATCTTGTGACTGTGGAACTCCCTCTTTTGGATATCAGCATGTGAAGGACACTGTTCAGGAACTAGTTGATGCTCTGTATGTGATGACTACTTCCATTCTGGAGAGGATCACAGATACATGGATCCTGAGGTTGAAGCTCAAGCTGGTGACGAGTGATATTTTTCTAACACTAACTTAGAAAGAGTCCAGGTATTTGCATGGGGGAGATTTCTGAGTTAAAATAGCATATTTAGAAGTTTATCATAGCAGGTAAATGTCTGACCTTGTTCTCCAGCGGGTCCGGGGAAACCGGGGGATCCGGCATCACCGCTAGATCCGGGGTAACCAGGAGGTCCAGTCTGGCCCAGTTTACCTCCAGGACCGGGACGACCCTTAGACCCTAAAGCAGGACACACGTTCACTCAGGGGTCAACAAAAAGTCCAGAGAGCAGTTTTTTTATTCGTATTAGCTTAGCTTAGCATGAAGACGAGAAACACGTGGAAACAGATAAACTACATCCTTACCAAAAGCAACAAAATTCACCAACAAGCTTCTTAAAAAACGTAATATATAACATTTCACAACACATTTCTTATAGTATTGAAGTTGAAGCTGTTTTGCTGAACAGTAAACACACTAAATAAACTGTACTTTACTTAGTTACATCCTTGATAAACAACAAATATTCATTATGGGTACATACATTATAACTTTTGTAAATATAAAATCTTTGTATGTTAATCACACCGTATAAAAACACTGATGGTTTACTAGTGAGAAGTTTTGCTATGCCAGTAAAGTGTATTTTCTTAGCTTAGCTTAGCATGAAGACGAGAAACAGATCACCTACATCCTTACTAAAAGCAAAAAAACACCAACAAGCATCTCAAAAGATAAATATTCAACATGTTATAATATATTTATTGTATTATTGAAGTTTTTGCAGAACTTTTTAAATCTTTGGACAGAGCTTGGCTAGCTTTTAATCCAGTTTTCATCCTTTACGCTAAGCTAAGCTAAGCTAAGCTAAGTCTTCCCGCCCTAGCCTCACACACAGACTTCAGAGTGAAATCCATCTTCTCATTTAACTTTCACTAAATACTAAATTACCCCTTTGGACACAACCAAATAATGAGAATGAAACCTGATGTTTTCTTGTCATTTAGATATAATTTTTGGCCTTTTTCTTAAAAACAATATCGTTATTTTGTCTTTAATGGTAACAAAAATCTGTTTTATTTTGTTTTAATTTTATTTCTGTTTGTCTGTATTATTATTATTATTTTTGGCTTACATGTATTCTGTATTCTGCATTTTGTATGTTTTGTAAGTAATTGCTGTTGTCTTTTTTAACTTTTTCTCAAGTACTTTTTGTTATTATTATTTTTTTTTAAATGTCGTAAATGTTGTGTATTAATCTCAATAAAAATGTGATCACCAAAAAGAAAAAATTGTAACAAAAACAAAGATCTGGACTCTGTGATTCCTCACCTGAACGTCCGGGGAGTCCCGGCTGTCCAGGTTCTCCAGGAGTCCCGCTTCCTCCTCCTCCTCCGGGGTAACCAATTTCTCCGTAGGGTCGCTCGAAGTCTTGCGGTATCCTGGGAATCGTGAGTCCGGGGGCTCCCTTACGACCGGGACGTCCTGGAGAGGAAGGGATGGAGAGAGAGGAGGAAAGAATTAATTAACACAAAAACGTACAAAAAAATACTTAGTTCCCACTTGACAGTTAACGGAAAGAACAAAACAAAAAAACAACAATACGAAAACGTAGGGGGAAAGCGGCTTAACTTCTCTTAACTTCTCTTAACTTCTCTTAACTTCTTATTTAAGTCCTCTTACCTTGTACTCCCTTGGCTCCTTTGTTTCCGTAATATCCAGAATCACCGGGATAGCCATTCAGACCAGGACCTCCGCTGTATCCGCTCTCTCCTATTCCTCCTAAAAAACACCACAAAAACATTTGTCTTTTAACACTTTTGTTTGGGATTTATTTCATATTGTTTACGGGCCAATCGGAGCTTCACTGACCTTTGAACCCGGGGCTTCCGGGGAGTCCGGGGCCTCCGGGAAAACCAGGTTCTCCCTTTCTCCCGGGGGATCCTGGGAAACCTGGGAGTCCGGGGTCTCCTCGGTCTCCCTGAGCTGTGCCGGGACCAGGGGGACCGGGAGGACCTGGAGGACCCTGGAAACCTGAGGAGAGGAGGAGAGAAGGAGAGGAGTCAGGACGAGAGGATACAGTGAAAGGAAATAGGAAACAAAACAGGTTGATAAAAAAAGGGAAAGGAAAGGAAATTGGGTTTGAGGAAAGGAAGTAAATGAAAAGAAAGAAGGAAACTAAAGAAAATTCGGGTAAGAAGTAAATCAAAATAAAGGAAAGAAGTTTCGGAAAAGAAAGGAAAGGAGAGGGTAGGAAAGGAAAGGAGAGGGAAGGAATTAAAGGAAAGAAAAGGACAGGATAGGATGGGACAGTAGAGGGGAGGATGGGGAATTGGTTTTAGAAAAGGAAGTAAATCGAAAGAAAGGAAAGCAGGTTGAGAAAAAGAAAGGACAGGAGAGGGAAGGAAATTAAATTGGGTTAAGAGAAAGGAGGGAAATACAACAAAATGAAAGGACATTGGGTTAAAAGAAAGGGAAGGAAATGTAGGGAAAGGGAAGGAAAGGTAAGGAAAGAGGCTTAAGAAGGAAAGGAAAGAAAATGAAAGGTAAGGAAAGGAAAGGAAAGGAAAGTTAAGAAGAGGACAAGATAGGACATTAAAAAGGACAGAAAGTAAATGTATTTACCATATTCTCCATCCAGTCCAGGGAGTCCTGGGTCTCCAAGAGGTCCAAGAACGTCTGATCCCACCGTGGGACCGGGGGGTCCGGGAAGACCGGGGAACCCTGAGCGTCCGGGACCACCTGACACACACAAATAAAAACAAACCATTTTGATATTAGCTAATTCATACTCTATCTGTATTCTTTAAAGGTCCCCTATTATACTGTTTTTCATCAATATATCACGGGTCTCAGATATATCCAGAACATGTCTCTGATTGGCTGAAACACCAAACAGATCATTGCAGCATTACCCATAATCCCCTCTGTTTCAGCCCTGTTTCAAAAGTGCTGATTCTCTGTCTGTTACTTTAGATGAAAATAAGGAGCCACTCCCCACGCCCCTCTGAGAGAGATTTGGTTAACAAGAACACAATAGCCGCTTTCAAACCAAGTACTTTGCCGTACTTAGTTCCCAGCACTTAGTTCCCCCATGGAACTAAAGAGCAGATCGCGTTCACACCGGAACAAGTTCCCTGAGGGAAGATTACTTGGGACTCCCAGCAGCTTCTACTGAAGCCTTCCGAGTAAATCGCCAGAACGCCGACACCTCCTCATCTCTACCGCTCCCATGTTTTTTTTGTGTTACCATAAGTTATTCTCTCTCCGTTGGTGCGCTGGGCTAATGCTAATGCTAATAATGCTAATGCCAGCAAATACAATGGCGTCTTCAAAAAACCTTTCCGAGTTTTACGAGCTGTGGTTTGCAATTCGCCCAGCCAGTCAGAAATTGGAACTTTTTTCTCCCCAGGAAAGTATCACCTCTCTAGCAGGCACTAAAAAGGGGGAAAAAGTTCTCATGAACTGTTTCTCTTCCTGGCGTGAACGCAAAATCCCAG